GCAATTACATACATAGATACATATATATATATATATATATACATATACATATATCTATATACACATGATGTCACATTATATCAATATAACGGTATACCAAGCTACCTGAACATTTTGAAATACATATATACATACATATGTGCTAAAGGTTATTCATGCATTCAAGCTGAACTAGTTCGCATTTACTTACCCATAACTCAATTTCGATCTTATATTATTCTCTAATAACTTAACCATATGATTATTTTGTAAAACTTACCTAGAATATACCTAGAAACCAGATAGTATCGGATGATATAGAAAAAAGATAATGCACTCTTGCACAATCTATTCGTTCACATCTGATTTCATATATTTCATTTTGACTTCATCACACCCTAATAGGTCTATGTGTCCTCTGTGAAGCAATTGAAAAACTCACAGCTATGTATGAAAGCTATAGTCTTGGTCCATTTGCCAGGTCCTCATAGATCTACATTCTTTATAACTGTTAACTGCAAACTGTTAACTATGGACTGTGGATATATCCATTTATAGGTGTTAATTTCATAAAGTATTCTAAAATTTCAGGTCTCTAGCGAATTGGCTCCCCAATTGCACATAAGCTATATATAGTCTCTGAATAACAGTCACTATTATGAGAGCGACACTTATCTCTTCCCACCCCCTACTCTGTATCTCTCTCTCTTTAACTCCCTCTTATCCAAATTAACGTCTTTGCCGGTTCAGATTTCATTTCGAACTGGTTCATTTGCTACATTCTTGAGCCCGTAAATAAAATGCATGAGTTCTACATACAAATATGTATATATTTATATGTACTGTTATATTGGAGAAGTACAAAATGCAGTCACAGTACTTGGTATACAATATCTTAACATACTCGTACACACACACACATATACATATATATATATATACATACATACAAGCATATATAGAGATGTCTATCTAATATAGTGCATGCGCATTTTTTGCAAACTTAAGAACCATTTACACCGGTAAATGCCGACTTGAAGCCCCATTTACAACGTGTGCAAATCTGCTCACATATTTTTTAAAGCCTTTTTTGCCCCTCGACTTCGCGCGAAAACAATTTTTTTTTTCTTAAGCTAAGAACTCGATGGAAGCAAGCCGAATTTAAAGAGAATACACACACAAAATAGGAAAATGGAAAAGCTAACTACTTAATACAAAACAGAACTGTGAGAAACATAAGAAACCATAAGAAACAGAGAAACCAAAAACCAAAAGAAAAATATGTGGTCAATGGCAAACTATTACGTGTATAAGCAAACATAATATACATATATCTATGTGTATATGAATAAACTTGATTTTATATATGTATCTAAATAGATTATGTGTGTCTCGCCTATTATTAATTCGGATTGGGGAGCTCTAGATCTCGCGAAATGAGAACGAGAACTGGAACGATAACGTGATCAAGAGCGCGCTTGATACAAGTACATATATGCTATAAGCATATTTATATCCACTATATACGGTACTGTTATTGAGTTGCGGCTTGGCACGTGTCGTGTGCGCGTGTGTGGGGTGGGGGGAGGGGCAGCCATAAGGCCTGCCATATCCATATCGATAACTACGAATGGCCAAAGCGGCTAAATGAGACGATTTTATGGGCCATCAAATAGGTTTGGTTTTTTTTTTTTTTTTTTTTTTTTTTTTGATTATTTCTATTTGGTATCTAGTTTCATTTTCTGTGCACAATTAAAAGTCGACGAAATTAGGCAAATTAACAACAAATACACACAAAAGCCAATCATGAGCAGAGTAATAATAGTAATGATAATAATAATAATACAAACACATTGTCAAGTACATACATGTACATACATAATTTCATTAGCTACATACAACAACAACTGGAGAGCAGCAATTGCAACAACAACAACCATAACAGTAACGGCAACGGCAACGGCAACACAGCAGCAACAACAATCACAGCGAGAGCAGCGAACATATAGCAACAACAACAACAATGAACCAGTCGCCGAACCAGAACCAGAACCAGAGCAAATTGCATTACAATGTGAGAGCTGGAATTGAATTAACACTCGCGAAGCCTTAAGTGATCTGCGTGTGTGTGTGCGTGCGTATATGTGTGCGTGTGTGTGTGGGGAATTAGAAGTGCTCGCTGATTGGCCGGCGTGCGACTCTTCCAATTAGAAGAGCAAGTCCTCGTCGCCGTCCTCTTCGAGGATATTCTGTGCCTGTTCGCTGCAGACCACGTTGTAGCCCTGGCGACGCAGCTCCTCGCGCTTGAGATCCGCACACTTGCGCGCCTCGCGCTTCTTGTCCTGGATCTTCTTCAGGCGGTAGAACTCCTCGCGCTCCAGCTCGTCCAGCTCACTGATGATGTACTCAATGGTGCGATTGATGCGCGGTATGATAACTGTAATGATTCATAATCAGAAACACCAATGTGATATCAAATCGATTTGGAACTAACCATGCTCGATGGCATTGACACGCCTGTTGGTCACCTTGATGACATCGTCCAGCGTCACAAAGGACGTTTGCAGCGATGCCAACTCGACCAGCAGACGCACCGCGCTCTGGTAGTTCTTCTTCAACTTGGCCAGCTGTTGGCCGCCGCGCGCCAATCCGGCCAGCTCGTAGGTATCGACGCCATCCTGATAGGGCTCGAACAGGGGCAGAGTGACGCCGGCGACATTGTCCTTTTTGGTGCGTATCTTGATCTGTGCCTTGGTCACGTTTTGCAGCACGATCTGATTGATGTCGCCCGTGGTGAACTTGACCTCGGCCAAAGAGAAGGCCGCCTCCTTCATCACCTGACCCATTAGCATTTTGGTCTGTGCAAAGAGGGAGAGAGAGAGGGAGAGAGAGATCACTTGGATGGCGAGACGGTGACATCATTAATCAGCTGCTCTTGCCTACCTCAATGATCTTGCCCAGAATCAAACGGAAACGCATCTGCAAAGCGTCAGCCTTCTTCTTAAGTAGGCCATGGCCTTTCGTGGCGCCCGCCAGACGCGATTTCATCAACGTTTGTGCTCTGCGCGACAGAATGCGTGAGATGGAGAAATCTCTCGAGACAGAGACAAGGAGAGACAGAGAGGGGGAGAGGGGGAGATCACTTACCCGCGCGATGGAAATATAGGCAGACGATCTCTGGCGGCCATGATTCAATTGGTTTGGTTAATGAAGCCCACAAGTTTACCGTTACTGGCACCGCTGCAGTTCCGTTATGCGCTGCTTCTTCTTTAGCCGTCTGCCAACTGATGACAAATTTGAATAGAATTTTGTGTTGTGCACAACTTTTGTTAAACGTCAACAGAAACGACAATAATAATATCAACAACAACAACAACAACAAAAGCAACAATAACAAAGCATAGACTATAAACTAAAAATAAGAACAACAAAATATTAACCACAATGAATATATGCGACAAATATACAAAAATAAACGGACGAGCACCGAGCAAAAAGAACGAGAACCGCAAAGCAAAGCACACGACAGCGAAATGGGACAAATGACAAACAGCGCAACGGTCTTCGATGTTAACGTCAACGCCGACGCCGACGCCGACGCCGACGCAACATCGTCCAACGTGACGTATGGATAAAAGTGAAGCGCGTCCATTGGGCCGAGCGCTCAGCTGATGCCATCACAGCAAGCGTCAGCGAGGAGCACGGCTAGCTAGAGATGAGCGCGTGAGTGATCGATCAAATGCCACGGATTTCGCTGCAGTGTAATTTGCATTTCTTTTTGCATATCAATTACATTTTGAATGGAATTTGATTTCCTTTTTCAGTTGAAATTTGAATAGAATTAGATATCAAATTTGAAAGAACTACTTGCGAATAAATATTACAAAACCTTCAATCTCACACTGATGACTCCGCAGCGCATACATCTCGAAGCCAGTGCTGCCAAATGGCTGCGTTGACCGTTACATCGAATTGAGTTAAATTGATGCTGATTGCTAACAGTACGCACAACACTCAGTCAGGTCGTCAGTCACTAAAAACAAAGAACTGTTCGAGCCCAAGCACAACACACACACTGTCGCTTCCATTGTCATCGTCTTTCGGCATGACCTGGCAATGGCAAATGGAGCTTGTACGCAAACGGGGGCGGGGGTGGCATAGAGGTTGCCCGAGTCACGCAATTTGAATATGCGTCTTGTGCGCCGTCATGTGTCAAAAAAACAAAACGAGGCAAATTAAACACAATGCGAAAAAAGCAGAAAAACAAAAACAAATTTATGTACACGTGTTCGCCTTATACAGTAAGTTGGTTAATAATATTTATTAAAATAAAAAATATTGCATGGGCAACTGGGAATTACTGGGGTCACAGTCTAGCTCGAGGTCTGGGCCGCGCAACGTTCGTTGCAGGGCGTGGCTGGTCTGAGCAAGGCCGTAACCAACGTGGAATCAATTGCCCAACCAGGCATCTGCCATTACTAGCCTACGGAATGCTCAAACACTAAACGATTCTCTAGAGCCCTTTCTATTTTACGGTAAGTTAAAGTTAATATATGCATTATATTTAATAGCAGTACTTAGTGCAAAAGTTGCTTAAGATTCAATTAGCAAAAATTACTGAGTACATCAATCGTAATTGTCGAGTATTTGTTATGCAGGTGACATCCAATTGGGCTTAAGTCCTTGAGTAAGTCATATAAAAGTCAAAATTCGTATGTATTTACATATGTATGTACACACACACGCATGCACACACACAGCCACACACAAACACAGCCACAAGTGGCGTGAAGCGCACACACAGACCCGCACACAAAGAACAAACTGAATCAACAGTTGGCGTCGCCGTTACTGCTGTCTAATTCGAATTGGGCTAAATATTGGAGAGTGGGAGCAGAGGCTAGGCAACAGGAACAAAAAAAAAATACTTTTGCGCCTCTCTTTTGCTCTATAGCTCGAATTTTTATTACCGTTTGGCAAAAGTCACGAACAGGCACACTGACTCACTCAACGACTCCCTCGCTCACTCGCATACACACAGACACACAGCACACATACACACGCACACGCACGCACTCATCCTGTTAGATGTTAACAGCGTTTTTCATGGTCGTGCATTGTCAGGGGCTCACGCTTTCAAGCGACTTGTTGAGCGCCCAGCATGTACGCCACTGGACATACATTTTTCTCTTAAACGCACAGGAACAGAAGCTCAGCTAGGATGCTGCTGCTGCTGTTGCTGCTGCTATTGAGGCCGCAGTTCGCATTTCGCAGCGCCCGCAAGTAGGTTACACATTTTTAGTCGCTCTCCCGATTTATTAAATCAAATTGTGAGATTAACTACTCAATCACCAGTAAGTAAATAAAGCTGTTAAAAAAAACTAATGACTAAAGAAAATAAATGAAATTCGCTCAGTGCAAACGTCTCAAAGTATACAAAGAAGTTGGTGAAGGGGCGAAGTAGAAAACGGGGCTATATGGGTGCACATTCTGTCGCTAAGCGTCGAAAATTGTTGAATATAATGCGATTGTAATAGCAGTGGCACCAACAACAACTGCAATAAACAACAACAAAGAAAAAGCAAGAGAGAGTTTTCATGTGTGCGTGCTGGAATGCGTCGGTGAGCGCGTGAACGCGTGAAAGAGAGAGAGTTATGCGTACTCTCTAATTGAGTTATGAAAGCAAAAATGCCACTGAAAGCTGGCGTTTAATATATACATATGTGTGCAAGCATGTATGCATGTGTATATGCGCATTCATACATATATGCGACACACACAAGCATAAACAATACTCTATTTTTTGCATGCATGTGAGGACAATTTACACACTCACAACTGCAATAAAATTTCATGAAGCTGCGCTTTAAAATATTAATATACGACTAAATAAGCCCATCTAATAAGTATGCTACACATTCTTCACACTTCTTTATATAGCATACATTCCCGAGCACATTTAGATATTGTAATTTCACGAAATGGAGTACAAACTGATCACAGCTGACCACTTTGAGCGAGTGATCGAACATTTGCGTCGCAATTTTTTTGCTGATGAGCCACTGAATCGTGCTGCTGGCCTCTGCCAGCACGGGGGTGGCAACGCTGAACTGGAACATCACAGTCTGACAACGCTGCAGGATCAGCTAAGCATCATGGCAGTGGATGGTCGTAAGGATAGCAACAACTACGGCCAGATCGCTGGCGTCATACTCAATGGCGTCCTCCGTCCAGGCGATACGGAACAGGCGCTGGAAAAACTGCAGGAGAGCACCGATGCCAACTATAAGAAAATCTTTGAGCTGCTCTACGGCCACAGCATGCAGGTGGATCTCTTTGCGCGCTACAATGTCGAGCAGATTTTCGATGTTCGCATCCTCTCAGTGGATGCACGCTATCGCGGACAGGGCATAGCCAAGGAGCTGGTCCGCCGCGCCGAGCAGGTGGCACGCAAATCTGGCTTCCAGCTGCTCAAGGCCGATGCCACCGGCATCTTCTCACAAAAGATTCTGTGCTCGCAGGGCTTCCAGCCGTTCTCCGAGCAGCTCTATGCCAAATATACAAATGACGCTGGCGAGATAATCTTACCCGTGGAGGCGCCACACATTAAGCTGCAGCTGCTGACCAAACAGCTCAACAAGGACACTCAGTAGAAATACAAAGACAAAAACTAAATTTTTATAGCCATTTTTTATTATTATATACGAGTTTATACATATACATATATATATATATATAGACATATGTACGTTAAAATACTGTTATATTATGTTTCTAATACTATTTTCTTTTTTTGTATTCGAAAAAGTTCAGAAATACTTGTCTTGCTCTACAAGGGATTATAATATAACATATAACTTGTTGTTGTTGTTCTTTTGATTTTTTTTTCAAATGGGGACCAACTATTATCTTAAATAAATGCTATAACTATACAAAAAAAACAATACTAAGCTTTGTTTTGCTTGACAACAAAGGTTAACGCAAAAAGTGGAAACAAATAAATATACTTATATGTACATATATGTATGCATATATAAATATATACATATATACATACATACATGTATATATATATTATATACAACAAAATGAAACAATAAATAAAGTAAGCAAATTATATTGACAACATAGTTAGTTATTGAAAACTAACGGTACATATAGCTTAGGTACGTCAGATGAAAGGCCAAGCCAAGTACGATCAGATCGCAGTCCTAATACAAGTAAATATCACAAAAGCTAGCAGGTCCAATTTAACAACAACAACTGTGGCAACTGCTGGCCAGGTACAGTATGACATTATGTCGACTCCATCGGCATCCTGGTGTTTACTTTTTGCGTTTCGACTTCTCGAAAATGAATATAATATCCTGATCGGTGCCGAAAGCCGAGCGTGCTGTGTCCATAGAAGCCGGTGAACAGCGGCAAGTATCTGCAATAGATTAGATGATTAGTGAATGCATCGATAAGTTTTAGATTTAGTTAATTTCATTGCATCACACTTACGGCCATCGCGTGTTTCTGGATTGTTATAAAATATTGTATGTGCTTCTGCGTCGTAGCCACATAGCACCACATAGTGTCCAGCAAAACTTTTGTTTTTATTTTGGGCAAAACAGAAGAGATGAAAACTTAACAATAAGCAAAGTGGTTAAAGTGGGTTAATCAAGCCAATTCAAGCACTGAAAGAATGCACAGCCAAGTCACGCTTCAAACGACCGTTGGGCGCCAGCTCACATTCCGATAACAGAATTCTATCGATAATTGAGATCTCGGCATTTCATATGGTAATTTAGCAACTGGATGGATATTAAATGCAAGTGTCTGGCGGTGCCACGGCAAATGACTATGATTGTCTGGTGAGAAGGTTGCATAAGTGATTGCAATTATTATCCAATTCAGTTCATTATTGGCAAGCGACCTGGACCTTGGCACGTTCTCGGTTCGTTATTAAGATTTCCGTGTCTTTGTTGTGCATTCGTATTATTGCATTGCATTAAGGAGTATGCATAGTACGTAAGTAATGTATATATGTATATACATATGTATGTATGCACGTAACAAAACAGCTACGTTACGATTACCTACCCAAACTTTTCACGAATCGTACGACGGCACACTTCGCAAATGAGTTGCGAGGCATTTGTTAACAGTATAATTGGTCCATGGCGTGCCAAGTGCATAACAATCGCATGCATGTTCACCGTACGCTGCTGGATGCGCAAGCCTTTCGCAGAGGCTTCCTTGAACCTGCGCATCACCCGCTTCTCGTCCTTGTCCAGTACATGCGAATAGTATGAATGCTTCTTGTAACTTGGATCCACGCCAATCGTTTGCGTTAAGTATTCGTGACGCACGTGATAGCGAAGCAGCAAATAACAGAGATCGATTGTCCAGGTGCTGACACCGAAACCTTCATCCTTGCAGATGCTCTCGAAATTATTTAGGAACTGTTTACGTTGCGATGAGGACAATATCATTAAAATGCAGGTCACCCCGCAATCCCAGTTGAAACGTTGTTGAATGTGCGTAATATTATATTGTTTACTTTGAGGTACAGCGGTCATCGTTGTCAGATGATTCAATTTGCGATTTTAGTTTATTCCTTTCTTTTATTTATTTATTTTTATTT